ATGGGGAGACGTGATGCATATCTCTCAGGAGGTGGACTTGGGAAAGAGCTCCCAGAAAGAGCCATCTAAGAATATCCCAACAGGTAAAGAAAGGTTCCTACGTTCATATCATATATCACAACAACTGACTTGGCATACAACAATTCATTTAATGCCAGTTCAAAGTTATAATGGCACCAAAAAAAATGATTTATGACCGGTTTTCACATGACAGTTGCCCCATCATCATGGTCATGTGATCAGAATATAGATGCTTGGCAACTCACATGTGCATGTGACGGTTCCAGTCTCCCAGGGTCATGTGATCACTGTCATGGTTCTGATAGATGGAACCAAATAAATCAGAACTCCAAGGCTAGAAGCTTCCTCAAAGAACATGTTTATTGGATACAAAATATCGGCACGATCAAAAGTGAAACCAAGTCTGAAATTCCCCCCAAAGAGTGACACTATTACAAAGTCAAACTTTCTGCCCCAGTGTTACGCAATTATCCACGTTTCCCAATAGAATAGTTTGGGCGGGCTTGCTAACAAAATGCCCAACCCTTTAACATAACCAATAGAATGACCTTGGTTCCCACAGGACACAGAATTGCTTAGACTAGCAAAGATCCTCCGCACCCCCTCCCATTCAGGTAGCAACCTAAAAAACGAGCAAGATGGCTTCAGCCAGGTTCGTTGTAGAGTTGACTATCACCTTTTGTAATCTTCTGACGAGCAAAGTCAACAGGAGAGCCAGATTCATTTAACCATGTTACTAACTTAACTTTTACAACGGTGGCAAGGAAGGTCGTAAAATGAGGGGAAATTCACATAACACCCGTCTCACTTAGCCACAGAAATGTTGGACTCCGTTGTGTTTATAAGTCAAGAACTACCTGTATCTCAGCTACTGTTATTTACGGTCTTGTTTTGGCAAAGTAGCCAAGACCTGGGTGCTAGAATAGTTTTGTGTGCGATTGTTTTGATCTTTCTAAAACATGCACTTGCTCTTCTTTTATCTCACTCTCAGAGGATGGAATGTTACTGATGGCACCTGTGGAAGTATCCCCTCTTTATAGTGGAGCAGAAACAGTAGTTATCCACCCAGCTCAGGTAGGAGTACTTTTCCCTCTCCCAACAAATTAGAATGACTCAAGGGGCATCCAATTTCATCCAAGAGGTCTATGGAGATTCTCCGTCATCCAGGTCATGGTTGTACCAAAGGTGCTTTTTCACGAGGCAACTGGACTTTCTTTTTTCTCTTTGAAGACATTTTGCTTCTCATCCAAGAAGCTTCTTCAGCCTTGGCTGAATGGTGGGGAATGGACAATTGGTCATTTGCATTCTTTAAGAGAGTCATTGAGGCCACTTGGAAGCTTATCTGTATCATCAGGGTCAGCTGAGTAGTGTGGATATATGTGGTCCTTTCAACTTTCAACAGTTCCAAGAAGGCTCCACATCCATTTGCACTACTCAGGTGACCCTGACAACACAGATAAGCCTCCAGGTGGCATCAACGACTCTCTAAAAGAAGGCAAATGACCAGCTGTCTGCAAGGAGATAAATCCTTCCATTCCCCACCATTAGCTTAAGATGCTTCTTGGATGAGAAGCAAAATGTCTGCAAAGAGAAAAAAGAAAGTCCAGTTGCCTCATGAAAAAGAATCTTTGGGTTCATTCAAGATGGGAATCGCCAACTTCTTTCACTTTATTAACTCCCATCTAATCAATATTTAGAGCATGAGCAACCTTCCTGTAAGTAAATAAGAGTCCACACAATGTTGTGTTATCATCTCTTAACTGATGCCATTTCATCATTCTTCCTCGAATTCATTTCCCAATGAATTCATTCATTGGGAATGAGTGAATCTTCACCGATCTGTCAAATAACCACTGTGTTGATACCTGAAGGACAACGTAAGCCACTAGTTAACATTTCAAAGAGGAGTCAGCAAGTGATCTGAAGTTCCTATTTAATGAAGCATCCATGGTTGTGGGATCAGTCGATCAAGAGGAATATCGGAGTTTCAACCGTCAGATGTATTTGATATCATATCAAATGTTTTGTGCAGAGTCGGTAGAATTAATAAAACATTCACCAAACTGTAGCTTGAATTCTGCTTATTCCGTATTGTAGAATTTGTCTGCAGAATGTACTCATGTATCTACCACAAGGAGAAACTCTGGTATTGGCGCAGCAGTTAGAGTGCAGTACTGCAGGCCACTTTAGCTGACTGTGTTCAGCAGGTCAGCGGTTCAAATCTCACCGGCTCAAGGTTGACTCAGCCTTCCATCCTTCCGAGGTAGGTAAAATGAGGACCCAGATTGTTGGGGGCAATGTAAATATATATATATATACATTGCTTACTGGTGTACACCACTTAGAGAGTGCTTGCACTTAAAGCGGTATATAAGTCTCATAAATAAATAAATAAAATAAAATTGGGACTTGTTCATTACAAGGGTACTTGTAAACACTTTCAGTAGCTCTTCACTGATAGAGGAATGTTCTTTTCCTATTACAGGTTCCCCTGATTTTTGACGATGTGGCTGTATTTTTCTCTGGGGAAGAATGGGCTCTGTTGGATTGCAACCAAAAAATTCTATATAGGGAAGTCATGCTGGAAAATGCTCGGAATCTGGCCAGCTTGGGTAAGGGTTTTTCTTTATTTTATGTTCAAATAGATGGGGGATCATTTTTTCTACTACAAAATAATGAGCGGATGGAAGGGACCTTGGAGGTCTTCTAGCCCAACCCCTCCCCCCCTCAAGCGAATCAGACGAATCGTTATCCAGTCTCTTCTTAAAAACCTCCAGTATTGGAGCACTCACAACTTCTGAAGGCAAACCATTCCACTGATTAATTATTCTAACTTTCAGGAAATTTCTCCTTAGTTCTAGGTTGCTTCTCTCCTTGATTAGTTTCCATCCGTTGCTGCTGCTTCTGCTTTCAGATGCTTTGGAGAATAGGTTGAAACCCCCCCCCCCTTCTTTCTGGCAGCCCCTTATGTATTGCAACATGCTGTCATGTCACTCTGAATCCTTTTTATCAAACTAGACGTACCCAAACTGATTTTTCCCAAACCAGTTCTGTACACGTTTTATCCAGAGCATTCAACTTCATCCGAAACAGACGAAATCTTAGTTTCCAAGTTGAGTTTCCTGTATGGCAATGGCATCTGTCTCTTGTTTTTCATCTAAATTGAACTTGACAGCTTGTCTTTTCTTCATGCTTGAAACCAAAATTGTTGTTGTTAATTGCGAAGTCGTGTCCGACCCATCACCACCCCATGGACAACGTTCCTCCAGGCCTTCCTGTCCTCTACCATCTTCTGGAGTCCTTTTAAGCTCACGCCTACTGTTTCAGTGACTCCATCCAGCCACCTCATTCTCTGTCGTCCCCTTCTTCTGTTGCCCTCAATCTTTCCCAGCATTAGGCCCTTCTCCAGCGAGTCCTTCCTTCTCATTAGGAAACCAAAATATTAAGGACAATAAGCAGTGGACTCTATGGGGGACAAGATGGAACCATTACTTGTCAACTGCTTAGGTTTCAAACAGTAGTCCCCACTCCACGAATTGGAAGATGCACTAATAGAAGTAATATAATGTTTCAGCATAGTTGAGTGTCATGAAGCAGAAAGAACATGTGCATAGGGATCTTGAAGGGGAAGGACTGGAACTATGGTTTAAAAGGCGGGTAGGAGTTATAAGGAAATACTAGATAAAGATGCAGATAATGGGGCTTGATTTCTGATAGCACTCTCGAGTTGTGCTTTAAATTTCTTACTAGAATAGAATAACAGCGTTGGAAGAGACCTTGGCGGTCTTCTAGTCCAACCCCCTGCTCAGGCAGGAAACCCTATACCATTTCAGACAAATGGTTGTGCAGTCTCTTCTTAAAAACGTCCAGTATTGGAGCATTCACAACTTCTGGAGACAAGTTGTTCCACTGATTAATTGTCCTCACTGTCAAGAAATTTCTCCTTAGTTCTAGGTTGCTTCTCTCCTTGATTAGTTCCCATCCATTACTTCTTGTCCTGCCTTCAGGTGCTTTGGAGAATAGCGTAACTCCCTCTGAGATATTGGAACATGCTATCATGTCACCCCTAGTCCTTCTCTTCATTAAACTAGATATACCCAATTCCAGCAAGCATTCTTACTATGTTTTAGCCTCCGGACCTCTAATCATCTTTGTTGCTCTTCTCTGCCCTTTCTAGAGCAGTGGTTCTCAACCTTTCTAATGCCGTGACCCCATAATACAGTTTCTCATGTTGTGGTGACCCCCAAACACTTATACATCACGGGTGCCAGGGGCGTGGCCAAAGAAAAGGGGGAAAAAATGGCAGACAGCCCCGTGAAATGGTCATTCGACCCCAAATGGGGTCCCGACCCACAGGTGGAGAACCACTGTTCTAGAGTCTCAACATCTTTTTTATATCGTGGCGACCAAAACTGGATGCAGTATTCCAAATGTGGGTCTTACCAAGGCATTATAAAATGGTATTAACACTTCATGTGATCTTGATTCTATCCCTCTGTTAATGCAACCTAGAACTGTGTTGGCTTTTTGGGCAGCAGCAGCAACACACTGCTAGCTCATATTTAAATGATTGTCCACTAAGACTCCAAGATTTCCCATGAACTTTTTTCTTTTTTGGTTCAACAGGTGATGGATGGGAGAATGAGAATTACAAAGAGGCAGCTTTCCAAACAGTCAAAACTGAAATTGGAGAGGAGACATTTCAAAATGAGCAAGGGCCACGATGGCCAGAGGATCGCCAGTTAAATGATGAATTGCAGATCTCTTCGACTTCTCAAAATCCAGATGTCCATCTTTTCCTGATCCAAGAAGATCACGGAGAAAAAGGAATGTGTTTCCCATTTGGAGAGAAAATTAGAGAGGGATCAGATTTATGCGAACACCCCGGTATTTATATAAAAGAGACACGAGACGAATGCATGGAACACGGGGAAACATCCCAGTGTAACCTCCCTCTTCCTTTCCATCGAAATATCCACGTGGAAGGAAAACCGTATAAATGCATGGAATGTGGCAACAGCTTCAACAATAGCAGCCATTTTATTTCCCATCAAAGGACCCACTCGGGTGAGAAACCGTACAAATGCCTGGAGTGTGGAAAGAGCTTTAGTGAAAATAGTTCCCTGACTTCCCATAAAAGGATCCATTCAGGTGAGAAACCATATAAATGTGTGGACTGTGGAAAGACTTTCAGTCAGAGTGGACAGCTTACTTCTCATAAAAGGATCCACACTGGAGAAAAGCCATATAAATGCACAGAATGTGGAAAGAACTTCAGTCAGAATGGTCAACTTAGTTCACATAAAAGGATCCATTCTGGAGAGAAACCGTATAAATGCATGGAATGCGGAAAGAGCTTCAGTCAGAGTGGCCATCTTACTTTCCATAAAAGAATTCACACGGGAGAGAAACCGTATAAATGTATAGTGTGTGGAAAGAGCTTCACTATAAGCAGTCACCTTACTTCCCATAAAAGGATCCACACCGGGGAGAAACCATATAAATGCACAGAGTGTGGAAAGACTTGCAGTACCAACAGTGATCTTACTTTGCATAAAAGGATCCATTCAGGGGAGAAACCATATAAATGCATGGAATGTGGAAAAGACTTCAGTCAGCGAAGTAATCTTATTTCCCATAAAAGTATACACTCGGGGGAGAAACCCTATAAATGTATGGAATGTGGAAAGAGCTTTAATCAGCGAAGTAATCTCATTTCCCATAAAAGGATCCACTCAGGAGAGAAACCCTATAAATGCATGGAATGTGGAAAGAGCTTTACTTGGAACTGTCAACTGACTTCTCATAAAAAGATCCACACAGGGGAGAACCAAATAAACGTGTTGACTGTAGAAACAGCTTCGTGGACTCCAATTCTGAGCTGATGGACGTCAGGTAGAGTTGGATAAAAAGGCATGACAGACTCAAAGAAAGAATTATATCCGCATGGTTGAAGGAAGGATGAAGGTGAAGTCGGTAGTAAGGTGGATAGTCAAGGTGCTTAGAGAAAAATCCTTGAAAAGTATGACTATGGAGATCCTCAGTCATCCAGGTCATGGTTGTCCAAAGATGTTTTTTCACGAGGCAACTGGACTTTCTTGTTTTTCTTTGAAGACGCTTCGCTTCTCATCCAAGAAGCTTTTTTAACCCTGATGGTGGGGAATGGAAGGATTTATATTCTTTGCAGACCGCTGGTCATTTGCATTCTTTTAGAGAGTCGTCGAGGCCACCTGGAGATTTATCTGTGTCGTGAGGGTCACCTGAGTAGTGCAAATGGATGTGGAGCCTTCTTAGAACTGTTGAAATGACTGTTGTAGGCTGGAGATGATGTCGTATTCCTCCCCCTCTGTTGAAAAGTGTGACTGTTAATAGAGACACACTGAGATGCCAAGCATTTATTCATGTGGTAATGTACTAAAGCACAAAAAGCCAACTACTGCGTATGCAGTGGGATACTTCAGTGCCACCAATTTTGTTTAACCAGGCACCTGAACTACCAAATGAGGAAAGTGAGTTTTCTCCCCAAATAATATGAAATGAATTATTAGGGGTAACAGGAAGCCAGGCTGCCAAAGAACATAGTGGCTGAACACCATCAAAACTGGCACCAGCCAGATCAATGGAACAATTCAAAGAAGTAGAGTCCCAAGAATCGTCAAGAGTCGGACACACAACTGATTGGATAAAATCATCATTAGCATTTTGCCTTTATATTAATCTCCCGAGAAGCTTCTGTTGAAATTGAAGGAATATAGGGGAGGTGCAATTGACTCCAGACGTAATACATTTGTTGACTAGGCCAGTTATAGGTTCCCAACCTGTGCGCTGTGGCCCACTATCGGGCTGTGGTTTGTTGGCCACCGGGCCACGTGAGTGGCTGTGTATGTGTGCATGCACTCATCCCCCCACTCGTGCTAGCGTCGCTGCAAGCATTGCGCGGGTGCTAACATCATCATGAGTGTCGCACCACAAACGGCCGCGAGTATGTGTGTGACCTCAGCCCTGTTTGTGGTGCGGACACACTCGCAGCCCCGTTTGTAGGGCACATATGTGGCCCTTTACATGTGTGTGCATGTGCATATAAAGGCACCTACCCCTTCCTTTCCCTCTGGGCCAAACCCAGAAAAGTTGGGGGGACTCTGAACTAGTCAGCAATTCTTTCAACTAGACCTCTACCAGTAGACTTTGGGGACTGGGGCTTACAGTTGCTGCTGTGCTTGTCTGTTAGTGGTTTATTCTTTCTCTATGGGCTAAACAGGGATTTTGTCTCCCCCCCTTTTGTTATTCACTTAACATGCTGTCTTCAGTTAACGCTGGCAGTAAGGTGGTAGAACACGATATCTAGCCGTGTTTAGGGTCAGCAATTCTAGCACTCCCAGTTGTTGTCACTTAAGCGAATCACTATGGCTTATTAAGCAAAGATGTCTCTTGGTCACGGGCTTCCCAGTTGACTCCGATGGAATGCCACAAAGAAGGTAGCAAAAAAAAATTCTTGGAGCTTGGTTGTTTTTTTGTGGACTGTTTCATGACCCAAACCAAGTAACATCATCGGATGTTACGTTGATGATGTTACCTGTTTGGGTATTGAAATGTCCGCAGGAAAACAACCAAGCTCAGAGAGCATCAAGGATCCCATAGTCGTCATTCTCCTCCTCCTCCATCTCCTCCTTTCTGCAAACCCCACTCCCGTCTAACACTGATGATGTTACCTAGTTAGATAACGAAATGTCCGCAAGAAAACCACCAAGCTCAGAGAGCACCAAGGACCCCACAGTTGTCCTCTTCCTCCTCCTCTGTAAACCCCACTTCCTTCTAACTCTGATGATGTTACCTAGTTACTGAAACCTCTGCAAGAAAACCACCAAGCTCAGAGAGCACCAAGGACCCCACAGTTGTCCTCTTCTTCCTCCTCCTCCTCTGTAAGCCCCACTTCCTTCTAACTTTGATGATATTACCTAGTTACTGAAATGTCCACAAAAAACCCACAAGGTTCAGAGAGCACCAAGGACCCCACAGTTGTCCTCTTCTTCTTCCTCCTCCTCCTCTGTAAACCCCACTTCCTTCTAACTCTGATGATGTTACCTAGTTACTGAAACCTCTGCAAGAAAGCCACCAAGCTCAGAGAGCACCAAGGACGCCTCATTTCAACCCTGAGCTATAAATATTCTCCTTTAAAGGTAGCAAATGGCAACCATTTCACAATGGGACACTGTGACAGCCATAACTCCGATGACTGGTTATAAATGCCATTGGAAAGTCAAAGAATTGCTGAATGATTGACCAATAAGCAAGGACCACCTGTATTTCTTTCCCTCACTCCATTTCCAGTTTTATTCCAGCTATCTTTCTTTTTTCCACAGGAACCTCTTCTTCGTGTTTCTTCTTTTTTCTTGTCGCGGCTGGAAGGAGGGAGGAACGTGCTGATGTGTGAGAGTGTGAATTGTGGGTAGATGCAGAGGAGATCAGTTAGCTTCTTTGCTGGCAGTTTTCATCGGTTAATTCAGCTGATATTCATCTTTTTTCTTGGACCTTATTGAATATGGAATGAGAATGTGGCTTCTGAGTGATGCATGAATAGACCCATATATCTAAAATAAAATGAACACCAAGGTACTAATTAAAACTATAAAAGTTTAATTTAAAAACGCCAAGCTTTCGCCGTCACCTGCCAGCATCATCAGGGCTGGGCCGCCAGGGTGTGAGAGAGTCATTTTATAGGCAAGCCGGAGTCTGCACCCGGCTCCTTGATCTCGTCACCGGGCCCAATTGGTTAAATTGTGCTCTGGTGGTTCGTTTCTTCCTGTCCTTCCTAGCTACTTGTGTATCTTCATCTACCTTCTTTTCTTTGGCTTCTAAGGCAGGTGGCATAAACTCCTTGTCTTTCCGATTGTCTCTATCCCTCAATCCATTCTCCCTTTCGGGTTCGAGTGGTAATTTGCATTTGTCCTTTTCTTTTCCCAGATCACGCTTTATCCAGTCACTTTCTCTATGAGTATCTTTCTTTTCGTCCTTAACGCCCCTCCCTCGTGCCCAACTGTCATCAAGACAGTCATACGTAGTGTTCCAAATCGGTTGGGGTGGCTCAATAGGTTGTTTTTCTATGGGGGTGATCTCATAGTTATAATTATCTTTGACTACCACACCCTTCCCTTCCTTTTTGTCCTCTGCGCTCTTGTCGCGCATGCTATAATCTGAGGTCTTGGTCTGGGGGGGGTGGAGTTGCAATCTTCCTGAGCGTGATAACGCTCCTTCTTTACCCTCCTCTTCATTCCGACGTCTCTCGCTCCTGCGTGTGTATGACAGGAGTCTCTGGAGTCCATGGGTGTTGCCGGTACGAGGCGCGGTAAGCTGATCTCATTGGCTCCGCCCTCTCTCGCACCTCTCCATCTGGGCTCGTTTTTCTCCTTACTTTCCGGAGCGTCCGCAGGCTTGCTGTTATGCTCGGCGCCGTCCCACACTCCATATGTTTTTGGGCCGGCTGATGATGCGGAGTAGGGGGATCGCTTCTTCTCCCTTAAGTCGGTCATCCTGTTTCTTTCTGAGCGTCGGTGAGGTGTCCGGTTTAACGATCTCTCCCCATCTTTGTCTATCGTGTCTCCTTGCACGCTAAGTGGGATATCTCCGATGTTCATAATGCAGGGGTTCTGGGCTTTAATTTCTATCGCTCTCTTAGCTTTTTGCAAGCGTGTTAACATTGCGGGGGTAGTGGGGATTCTTAGTCGCTGTCCCTCCTCTTCTGGATTGCACCGAGCTGACTGGGGGGTTGGCATATCACCTGTGGCTTTCTAGCTAGGTTTGTTGTCGGGCCGGTAGTAGCGAGATGGGTGGTTGGTCGCACTCCATGATCTAAGTGCCAAGTGTGCCGGACAGAGGTCAATATGCCGGTTGATAGAGCTGCCATTGGATAGCCATGCTTCCTTTAGCAGTCGGCCTCCCTTTGAACTGTCACTAGCCAAGACGTCTACCTCATTAAAATTAAAGCGGTGGCCCAATTCCGCCATATGAGTCCATATCTGGGAGTGCTGTTCGCCCCTTTTCACAGCTAGTCTGTGTTCGTGGACCCTAGTCTTCACTCGTTTGGAAGTCTCCCCAACATAGTTGCACGGGCAGTCCATACAGTCGATCTTATATATGGCTGCCGATCTCTCCATGTTGGGGAGTGGGTCCTTGGGGCGCATGATGGCTGCTCGTAGCGTTTGACTGGGTCTATGTGCTACCTGTATATTATATGGCGCCAAAATTCTCGCCGTAGCCTCTGATACATTACAGATATAGGGGAGGGTAATACGTGTTGTCTGTGGTGTCAGTTCATTAGGTATGGGGTTACTCCGGGGTTCAGATGGTATACTAAACCGATTAATGAATCTTACCGGGTACCCATTACGCTTACACACTTGGAAGAGGTGGTTTCTTTCCTCCCTCTTAGCTTTGATAGTGCTGCAATGTGACTCTACCCGTTTGAATAAAGTCTTAACGCAACTGACTTTATGGGCTATCAGATGATTGCTCTCAAAATAGAGGATCCTATCCGTACAAGTTGCTTTTCGGTATACCCTGGTGGTCAAGGATCCATCCAGTTGGCGTTGCACCAATACATCCAGAAATGCTAATGCGCCCTGATTTTCCTCTTCCATGGTGAACTGGATGTCCGGGTATACCGAATTCAAAATGCCCATAAAGTCAGTCTTGTGTTGCTTCTTGATGACTACAAACGTATCGTCCACATAGCGGGCCCAAAATTTTGGTTGGTACTGGGCCATCGCTATGTGTTCCAAACGTTGGAGCACCACCTCTGCAATTACACTTGAGATCGGAGACCCCATTGGTGTTCCCTTGATCTGCTCAAACATAGTGCCCTGGAAGGTGAAGTAGGTCTTTAAACAGACTCCCACCAGTTTTATGAGGTCTTCCGTCTGGAGGGAGTCCTGATGTTGTTCCTGTTCTCCCTGATTCAACCGGTCTCTTAATACTGAGATCGCAAGATTTTGCGGAATAGAAGTGAATAAGGAGACCACATCAAAAGACACCATGAGTTCGTCTTCCTCCACCCTCAGGGCTCTAATCTTATTGAGGAACTCGTCTGCCGATCTCACGGTGGTGTTACTATCACCGGCCAAGTGGCTGATGCGTACGCTCAGTGCCAGTGCAGAGGT